CGGTATTTATGTATCACAAGCATGCTTTCCTTAATTATCTGTTTTTCACAGAAAACAATCTATTCCTTAATTTTGAACATGTGTAAGAAACCCTCTGTACCTACAATCATTTTTGCTACATTTGTGTGGATCTTTTCTACATTTGATACTTCTGAATATGAAGCCAACAAAACTAAAAGTGGTATTTAAGATGACAGTGTTGATTATTACTTACTTTTGGTAACTGCTGTGTGTTAAAGAGACAGTATTTCGAGGCCTCCTGTATAACACAGTTTATATACAGAATTATATGGAGACATACAATAAAAGATTCAATTATTTTTATACAGACAGTGTAGAACAACCTCAAAGACTGTTTTGCCCACAAGAAAACTTGTATAGAGAAAGGCTTCACATTCTCAATTTCATTTGCTGTTTTGTGATGCTTAAGTGTATATAATCATGGTGCTAGAGCAGCTAGTGTGTTTGACAAGAAACTCCCAGAACCAAGAAAAATAAAACAAAACCAGCTTATAATTTAATATATTAAAGGGATACATAAGGAATATGAAAGGGAAAAACATGTTAAATATCAGGGGGAGATGTGATGATGGGTACCTTATTCTCTTTATCCTATAATAAGCCTTTGGCATACTTGGGAATAGAAAGTAGGCCTTGATCCTAGATAACTTGCCTTTTCATCTTTGCTGAGAAGTGGATGGATTTTATCCTAACAATACTATATAAACCCAGATGGATTAAAAATATAGCAGAGTAGTCCATATACCATGTGTAATTTATAATTTTTGCTGCTTACTTAGGAAATCAAGATTTTTCTCATACTAGGTCCACACACACACACACACAAAATCTTAATTGCTATCTTTGTACTAAAAAAGAGAGAATTTCTTTGCACAGTCTTCACAAATACTTTATAAATAAGGGTTTGGTACATCTGAATTGTAACTATACAAAGACTTGGTCTGGTTCAGAAGGAGCATGGGGAGAGTTTGTGGATGTAGTGTACCTGGACTTTAGTAAAGCCTTTGATGCCCTAGTAGGACCAGGGAAGTGATCGTGCCTCTGTACCCGGCACTGGTGAGGCCACACCTCAAATCCTGTGCTCAGTTTTGGGCCCCTCACTACACGAAAGACATTGAGGTGCTGGAGCCTGTCCAAAAAAGGGCAACGAAGCTGGTGAGGGGTCTGGAGCACAAGTCTGATGAGGAGTGGCTGAGGGAACTGAGGTTGTTCAGCCTGGAGAAGAGGAGGCTGAGGGGAGACCTTATCGCTCTCTACAACTGCCTGAAAGGAGGCTGTAGCGAGGTGGGGGTCGGTCTCTTCTCCCAAGTAGCAAGTGATAGGACAAGAGGAATTAGCCTTAAATTGCCTCAGGAAAGGTTTAGATTAGATATTAGCAAAAATCTCTTCACTGAAAGGGTTATCGAGCACTGGAACGAGCTATCCAGGGAAGTGGTTGAGTCCCCATCCCTGGAGGTATTTAAAAGACAGGTTGAGACATGTTTAGTAGTGGACAGGTATGGTTGGACTTGAAGATATTAAAGGTTTTTTCCAACCAAATGATTCCATGGAATGAAGCACAAGTAGAGGTGTAGTTGTGAAAGGTCATACTGAGCACTGGTGGAAGAGACAGTGAATTTGAAGGGAATATGGAAAAGAATGAAAATCATGACTGACTCTGCTTTCCAAATTCTGGGATCTTTGGCATTATGCGCTATGTATTTGCAAAAAGATGATGTATTTAAACACTAGATTTCAAGTCAGAGGTTTATTGTGACTTTTAGAGTACATAAAATAGCTAACTGGCTACAATTTCAGGGGCTGCTGAAATCGCGCATGAAATTAATGAATATCACTGTTCATTTCAACATCAGGCCTGTCTGATTGTGTCAAACCTGCAGTAATTCCCCCAATTCTCCTGGTTCAGTCTAATCCAAGCAATGAACTGGTGCTATAACTGGATATTACCTAGAACAATGCAGCGTATCAACAAACACTACAACATTTTTAATGAGTTTATTTGCCTTTTTGTTTCATTTTATCACGTGTTTAAACTGTGCTAATGTTTTTGAGAGACACTGACGAAAAGTTCTACAATGAAGACAGCAGAGTTAGTAATGCCAGGAGCTAATTGTTAGCTTTGTTTCTTTCCCCACACTTCCCAGTCTATCTCAAGATCCGTTTACCCCATTTACATTTCTTATTCTACCTTTATTTCCCCTATCTGTCGTCCTTCCAGCTTTCTGTTGCAGGGTGGTGGGAGGATGCAATTCATTACAGTCACACTCCCAAGCTGATTTTGAGGTTTTTAAAACCCAAGAAAGGCAATTTTTTGTGCTTAATTCTGGTGCCTGGACCCAGACCTTTGCGCAGCAGCGCGGGGCTGGGGCCATAGCCCTCGCCTGCAGCATGCCCACAGTGGGTAATGCACTTCTTACAAGGCCAGGCTTGGGTTTGGAAATCTGCTGTTGTGCCTACCGTGTTTTCTGTGCAGTTTCTTAGGTGAATACATAGACACGTATTTATGTAACTGGCATCTGCATCATTGACGTTATCTAAGTTTTTATTAAGAAAAAAATAATCTATCTAATTATTTTTATGAATTGTTACTAAAATTTACCATCCATGTATGAAAAAATTAAAAAAGGCTTCCTTTAAACAGAGCTTTGTTAAGAAGTGTTTTAACAATTATGTGGCATTAAGTAAAGATTCTCAAGCATGAACATTTCTGCTCCCCTTTTGACAGACTGCTGAATCATCAGCAGCTTTTCTTCTTGACTGAGCACCTTCGAATGCTCTGATTTGTGTTGTTACTGTAAAGAGCCTGTGTGATATTTTTGCATGGATGGTCCTGGGTACCATAAACTTGCTTTGTAGTTTGTTTATCTGGGAGAACTTAAAGGAACTAATCAGCCTTTTTGTTAAACTTTTCCTGGCAGCCTGGAAGGAAAGCCACAGCACATAAGAGTTTTACTAAAACAATCTTTCAAGTGGTTGATGTGTACAATAGGATAATTCATGCGTTATACTTCAGGGGTTATAAATGAACAAACAAAGGATGAAAAAGGAATTATGTGGGCAAAAGAATGTTCACTGACCTCATGTATCTCTGAAATATGTTCACTCTTCCACTTTGTTTTCAGAAGGTCTGATTTGTCCAGAACCTGTTATTTGTTAAACTGCCTGGACAGAAACAAATACAGAATTTGAAAGGGGAATTCTGCATCCATATTGTGATTGCTCTGTTTAAACAAACAGACAAAGAAGATGGTTAAAACATGAATCAAAAAGAATGAAGTGTAATGTTAAATGTCATATCCTAGGCAGATGGAGCAAGATTAAAAGAGAGACATAGACATTCCTCTTTGATTTAAATGTCTCACACCTTAAGATAACTCACTTGATTTTGCCTAATTATTTTAGGATAAATGCTAAGTCATTTTGCCACCAAATTTTTTTAAAACCAGGATAAGTAATATCCTGTACCTTGCTGCTCTCTCCAGGAAATGCTTATGGACACATAGATGACATTCCTACAGGCTTGGTTTAATGCTCTCTGAAATGTCAGTAAGTGGGATGGCTT